ATTTTTGGGGTCCCTGATTTCTGTTTTTGGGGTTTTTGGGGTCCCTGATTTCTGTTTTTTGGGGTTTTCTGCGGTCCCTCATTTTGGGTTTTTTTGGGTTTTTTGGGTTCCCTGATTTTCGGGATTCCCTGGGCCGATTCCCACGGGGTTTTTTTGGGATTTTTTTGTGCTCCCAGATTTTTGGGGTGCCTGATTTTGGGTTTTTTTGGGTTTTTTGGGTTCCCTGATTTCAGGATTCCCTGGGCCGATTCCCACGGGGTTTTTTTGGGGTCCCAGATTTTTGGGGTCCCAGATTTTGGGTTTTTTTAGGGTTTTTTGGGGTTTTTTGGGGTCCCCGAGTATCGGGTTTTTTTGGGGTCCCTGATTTCTGGTTTTTTGGGGTTTTTTTTGGTTCCCAGATTTTTGGGGTCCCTGAGTTGGGATTTTTTAGATTTTTTGGGTTCCCTGATTTTTGGAGTCCCCGATTTCGGGTTTTTTTGGGGTCCCTGGATTTCGGGATTCCCTGGGCCGATTCCCACGGGGTTTTTTTTGCTTCCCGGATTTTTGGGGTCCCTGATTTCTGTTTTTGGGGTTTTTGGGGTCCCTGATTTCTGTTTTTTGGGGTTTTCTGCGGTCCCTCATTTTGGGGTTTTTTGGGTTTTTTGGGGTCCCTGATTTTCGGGATTCCCTGGGCCGATTCCCACAGGGTTTTTTTGGGATTTTTTTGTGCTCCCAGATTTTTGGGGTGCCTGATTTTGGGTTTTTTTGGGTTTTTTGGGTTCCCTGATTTCGGGATTCCCTGAGCCGATTCCCACGGGGTTTTTTTGGGGTCCCAGATTTTTGGGGTTTATTTCCTTGATTTTGGGGTTTTTTGGGTTCCCTGATTTTTGGGATTCCCCGGGCCGATTCCCACGGGGTTTTTTTGGGGTCCCATCTTTTTGGGGTCCCCTCTGACCTGCTGGCACTGCCCGTAGAGATCCAGCAGGACGTAGCAGGGGCTGGGAACCCCCCCGGCCACGGCTCCCTGATCGCGGCCGTTGATGAAAAGATGGAGCCGCCCCCCCCCGTCCACCAGGAGCCCCAGCAGGGTCCCGGCCGGGAGCTGCTCCAGGCTGGGCCCCGGCAGATCCCGCAGCTGCAGAGAAAAATTCCAATTTTTGGGGGTCAGGGGTGAAATTGGGGGTTTGGGATTTTTTGGGATTTTTTTGGGATTTTTTTGGGGATTTTTTGGGATATATTTGGGATTTTTTTGGGATTTGTCTTGGATTTTTTGGGGATTTTTTTTTAGATTTTATAGGATATTTTTGGGATTTTTTTGGGATATTTTTCGGATACTTTTTGGGATTTTATGGGATATTTTTTGGGATTTTTTGGGATTTTATGGGATATTTTTTGGAATTTTTGGGGATTTTTTTGTGATTTTTTTGTGATTTTTTGGGGATTTTTTTTGGATTTTTTGAAATATTTTTGAGATTTTTTTGGATATTTTTGGGGGATATTTTTTGGGATTTTATAGGATATTTTTTGGATTTTTTTGGGGACGTTTTTCTTGGGAATTTTTAGGATTTTTTTGGATATTTTGGGGATTTTTTGGGGATTTTTTGGGGATTTTTTTTGGGGATATTTTTTGGGATTTTATAGGATATTTTTTGAATTTTTTTGGGATATTTTTGGGATTTTTTTTATTTTTTTTATTTTTTGGGGATTTTTTTTTTATTTTATAGGATATTTTTGGGATTTTTTGGGGATATTTTTGGGATTTTATAGGATATTTTGTAGGATATTTTTGAGATTTTTTGGGATTTTTTGGGATATTTTTTGGAAATTTTTAGGATTTTTTTTTATATTTTTGGGATTTTCTTGGGATTTTTTTGGGATTTTTTTGAGATATTTTTGGGATTTTTTTCTGATATTTTTAGGATTTTTTTGGATATTTTTGGATTTTTTTGGGATATTTTTTGGGATTTCATAGGATTTTTTTTTTTTTTCGGGATATTTTTGGGATTTTTGTGGGATTATTTTGGGATTTTTTTGGGATATTTTTTGGGATTTTTCGGGATTTTTTCGGGATTTTTTTGGGATATTTTTGGGATTTTTTGGGGATTCTTTTGGGATAGATTTTAGGATTTTTGGGGATTTTTTTGGGATATTTATTGGGATTTTATAGGATATTTTTGGGATATATTTGAGATTTTTGGGGATTTTTTTGGGATATGTTTTGGGAATTTTGGGAGAATTTTTCGGGATTATTTTTTTTTTTTTTGTATTCTTGGGGATTTTTTGCGAATTTTTGGGGATATTTTTTGGGATTTTTTGGGGATATTTTTGGGATTTTGTGGGAGATTTTTTGGGATATTTTTGCTGTGATTTTGGGGTTATTTTGGGGACATTTTATGGGAATTTTTTTTTATCTTTTTGGGATATTTTTTGGGAATTTTGGGAGAATTTTTGGGGATTTTTTTGGGATATTTTTGGGATATTTTTGGGATATTTTTGGGATGGTTTGATGTTATTTTTGGGGTTATTATGGGATGTCTCTCACCTTCCTGGCATTGTAGAACACGGCTCTCCTCTGCAGGATCCAGGCCGGGATTTTGGGGATATTTTATGGGATTTTTTGGGGATTTTTATTGGATATTTTGGGGATTTTTTTGGGATATTTTTTTGGATTTTTTGGGGATTTTTTTTTTGATATTTTGCGGATATTTTATGGGATTTTATGGGATTTTTTGGGGATTTTTTTGGGGTATTTTGGGGATGTTTTTGGGGTTATTATGGGATGTTTCTCACCTTCCTGGCATTGTAGAACACGGCTCTCCTCTGCAGGATCCAGGCCGGGATTTTGGGGATATTTTATGGGAATTTTTGGGATATTTTTTGGATATTTTGGGGATATTTTTGGGATAGTTTGATGTTATTTTTGGGGTTATTATGGGATGTTTCTCACCTTCCTGGCGTTGTAGAACACGGCTCTCCTCTGCAGGATCCAGGCCGGGATTTTGGGGATATTTTATGGGATTTTTTGGGGATTTTTATTGGATATTT